GGCGGGAAAGCGACCGGCGGCGCTAGAGATGAAGGGTCGAGTCCGGTGAGTCCATTCTTTCGCGAGTTTGGATCCTTGGGCTCCTCAGCAGAGTTTGACTGAAGAAAGTTGCGAACGGAGAGACTTTGGTGGAGCATTATTGGTAGAGTGGTGTTCTGACTGCTGTTGGATTTTCAAAATCTTTGCCCATGACATTCAAGGCACCACTCTCATTTTTCTTAACAAGGTGACTTCTTCCTCCGTTCCCTGCTCGAGCTGTGGGGTGTAAGAGTGGGATAAATAAAAAGGTTTCTCTCTGCAGTTGTAAATATCATCACAAACGCGTGTTTTAAAAATTCCGGCTTCAGTTTTGAACCCGGACCAGTAAGATTTCAAGGGTCAACCTTATTAGGACCCCCGTCCTTGCATGCTCCCTACCTTCTTAACCTCACCCGCCACCCAGCTCCCTGATCCCCAGCGGGGGAGGGAGTCGCCGTAGCCTCCTGGCTGGTGTCCACAGGACAAAACAAAACTTTGTCCTGTAACCCAGCTACTCAGCAGGCTGAGGTGAGAGGATCCCAAGTTCAAGGCCAGGCTGGGCAATTTTTGCAAGACGCTTTCAAAATAACATTTTTTTTAAAAGGTTAAGGATGTATCTCGGTTGTAGAGAATTTGCCTGGCCTGTGCCAGGCCCGGGTTCCAGGCCCGGTACCAAACCTAACCAGACAACAAAAGCATTCATTTTAGTACTACCGTGGTTGAAATCCTGCAGGTATTTTGGAAGGCTTGGCTAAGTGACTCTGGTTAACACTGCCTGTACTATCCCTACCAAACATTCTCGAGCTGTCCGTCCCACTCGGACAAGGCTTTCCTTCCTGTCATGGAAAGTCCAGACACCTTTCTGTTGTCGGATAGTTCCTTTGGAAATGGCTCCCCAGTTAAAAGCACTTCAGGTCCTTCTTGTCTTGAGCAAAGAATTGGGCGAGAGAAACCGAAAATAGTGCCAAAACTTTGTTTGAAAGGTGAAGCGGTATAGGAAAAACTAGTTCTGCAGAGTGAACTTGGGTGAAACAAAGACAGGAAAGGATAAAAGCAAAAATAAAAAGACACCCTGAGTCTGTAATGATGGCAGTAGTGAACTCAGAAATAAGCAAGGTTACTTTCCCATCTGCAACTTCCTGTCCTATGTCTTTCCTTCCAGCCTTCCTCTGTTATAGCTCAAATTTGCTTTTAACGGAAACAGGGGTGTATTTTTTAACCTTCAGGCCTGGATCCTGAATTTGAACAACTAGTTCCTTCTTCCATGCTTGTATGTGTGTTTGTGTGAGCACGTGTGAGAGCACACATACATGTGTATCTATGAAAGATGGACAACACTTCTAGGATGCAATACACCGTGTGTAACGTTTTGAAATTCTTGGGCCAGGGATGTAGCTCTGTGGCAGAACATACACACAAGCCCCTAGGTTTGATAGGTTTGATACCCAACTGTTAAGGTTGATAGACTGTGTCAACTTGAGGAGTCTAGAAGCTTGGCTAAGTGACTCAGCAGTTCTACATCCTGGGACTGGGCACAGAGATAGTGTGGGCCTGGGCGGATAGCCCATATACAATATAAGGAGGGAAAAGAGGCTTGCTTCCCGCCGCCCCCCTGCCCTTTTTGCTCTTCCTGCTTTTACTGTTTCTTGTGGCCATGAAGTGTTACTCTCTACCTTGTGCTGCTCTGCCTTGGAGCCAGCTGAATATGGACTGAACCTCCACAAACTGTGAGCTAGATAAATTTCCTTAATTCTGGGCGTCAGGTATTTTCTCTCAGCTGGAAGAGAAAAGTAACTGAGACCCCAACATAAAAAGAAAAAAAAAAACTTCTGGAGGAATTATCCCAGAGAAATGCAAACCATCTACAGGTCTTATTAAAGCCTTAGTTTACTGCATTAACAATATCACCCTCTCACTTTACAAAGGCCTAAATGACATCTTATATCTCTTTCAGAGTTTCTCTGCAAGGACCTCCTTTGGACATAAAAGTTTAGTCTATTGCTCCATTTCACTCCTGATGTATTCTTTTCCAATTAAGCATTGTTCTCAAGCACCTTAGACTCTTAAAAGTATTCATTTTTCTCCCAGAGTAGTACTCTGGTCCTGAGAGGATTCTGAGAAATACAGATTAGCTTACATTAGTCTATTTTTTCATCCTCTTCTCTCCACTCCCCTCCCCCGCTCCAGTGATTTCAGTTACCAGCTGTCCATCTGTATTGCTGCTATGCTACAAAGACATTTGCCACCTGGATCTCTTTCCTGATCTTTAGGCTCAATAAAATTGTTGAAAAGATCTCAATGGTGATGTTTTTCTTCTGTTATGTTGTGAATGGTTTTATAAAGTAGTAAACTTTTCTCATGTTCACTTGGATATTACAAGAAAAATGCAGTATCTGTAATACCCACTCACATATCACTCCATAATTGACTGGCTCCAAGGCAGGATGGCATGGCACAGCAGCTTAATGGAGGAGAGCCACTTGTGGCATGGAAGACCGGAAGCAAAGAATGAAGGGAGGGGCCAAGAAGGGAGATAGAGTATAACCTTCTGGGTCATGCACACAGAGACCTGACTTTTCCCATCAGGACCCACCTTCTAACAGCAAATCAGCTATAACCCCATATTATCCAGTGTCCTTCCAAAGGTCCCACCTATGATGGCATGAGGCTTTCAGGAGATATCGGATGATGTCCACTATTACAGATTGCCCTAAAACAATGTTTAGCACAACCAATGAAAATACTTTCAAAATGGACTGTACTGAACTTTAGATATTAACCATAACACTTACCATTTAGTATGAAGGTAATTTTATGAATTCTACCCTTTACATTCTTCTGTGGCATTTCATTATGGTATTATGCAGTAGGATGGACCACTTAGACACTTTCAAGTGCATTCTCTTTGTCAGATACAGAGATTGTAAGGATTTCTGTGAAATCTAGAGTTTAAAAAAATAATCTGAAAGCAATTGATATGGAGCAATAAAATACGGTAATTAATGGAATAGACAAGCCACCCCAGAATCTAGGACTGAGGTGGCTGTTTGCATTTGACTGAGCTGATCTTCCTATGTGAAAATACTGCAGCACTCAGGAGGCTGAGGCAGGAGGATCGTTGCGCGTTCAAGACCAGCCTGGGCTACAAAGTGAGTTCACGGCCGGCCTGAACTGCACAGCGAGACCCTGTCTCAAAAAGACAAAAAAAAAAAAAAATGCTGCTAACCTAAGTGAAAGTGATCATCTTTGTGCTGTATTTTTTGGAATTCAGTGTGGCATAATGCTTTGTGCACAGAGCGCAGGACAAGCAAAACTGGGTTATAAACCAACCCCTGACATTTCCAAGGATTGCATCTGTGGGTCCATTGTTTTACGTACTGTAGGACTTAATTTCAACTTTTTAACATTTTTTTTTTTATATACCAGGAATTGAACTCAAGACCTTGCACTTCCCAGGCAAGTGCTGCGCCACTGAGCTATATCTCTGATGCTCAACTTTTTAAAGTTTAAAATTAGTATATTCCAATCTCAAGCCTGGGAGTATAGCTCAACAGTAGAGTGCACACCTAGCAAGCATGAGACCCTGGGTTTAATACTCTGCAACTCTTACCTCAAAAAAATACAGAAAGAAGAAAAAAAAAATGCGTATCGATCTTACACTCCTAGGGTTGTTGTGAGAAGGAATTACAGATTATGAAATTGTCCTAAACCAGTGGTATAGCACAACCAGTGGAAATCCCTTCACAATGGACTACTGAACTGTAATACTATATATGCTAAAGATTAATTTCACAATAAGCACTTAATCTATTCACATTTTAGGGCTAGTTTTATCATTGTTGGGTGGAACTAAGCCAATTACATGTTTTAAAATTCTCTTATGAAAGAGCGTACAGTCTACACAAAAAGGAGCCTCTCATCCTATAACAGGACAGAGATACTTGCTATAACAATTCTTTTGTAAAAATAATGCAGTAACTCTAAAATGAAGCTTAAATCCTATGTAATGATCACAGTCTGTTTTATTACCATCTTAAATAAAGCATCAGCATTTACTAAATTCCTAATACCACCCTTGACATGACATTAGGGCTTAACAATGAAAATCTTCATAATTTTTGTTAAATTAGCTTGGAGATCTTTTATTTGTATCATTTTGTTGCTCCTTTAAGTGCAAAACAGCCTCAGTAATATAAAAAAGTTAATTTAGCCTGTGTACTGTAGACAGATTTTTATTAACCAAGCATACCAGTAGGACCAAAATTAATCAATACTCACTATGCATGGATATCATAATGATTAATGTGGCTCTTTTCTTGATCAGTTCACTTGTGCCTACATATATTGATCAAGTTATTGGCTGCAATGGACTGTACTGAACAGTTTTGACATGCCACATTCTCTTTGACTTGCACATATAGATTCGGTCTCAATGTCAGAAGACCCTGCCATTCAGTGAAAACTTACCGAATTTTCTAGAACCATCTAGTAGATATTTTGAGATAGTTTTGAAAAGGATGTTAACTCCATTCTTGTGGGCACCTACCAAATTTCTGCCAAAGGATCAAAAGCAGCTTGTCTAAGGACATAGTCACATTAATATGTCCCTATGGCGTTTGTTATGAAGGTTTTGGTATCTTCCATACTTCATGATCATTTATCAATTTTGGACACAGGTATTTCTCTGGTCATTGTGTTTTGTTCAGTGGACTTCAGAGTTCAGCCCATTCTACTTCCTTTTATTGCTTGCTATTTTTGAGGCGATTTCTCAACGGAAACCCCCTTTTTCTGTACAGTGTAATTACTGAAGCACATAAAGCAGTTATAGCAGGAATTTATCACTTTCAGGTGG